TTAGTGGAGGAGACGTGTGTTTCCATTTTATAGATGAGAAAACTGAAGGTCAGAAAGCTGGAGTGGTCAGAGTGGGTGGAGCACAGGACTCCCCCTCCACTTATGCTGGCTGCCTCACCCTACAGTGTGCTCACATATCACTACCCACTCTGCACCCCTCATCATGCCTCCCCAAACCCAACCCTCCACAGGACTTCCCCAGAGCCTTCTCAACCAGGTATCCAAAGTGAGACTTTCTGTTTCCTAATGCAGGTGCCCAAAGGAACCAGCCATTTCTGTGACCTTAATAAGTGGCCAAGTTTGAAGACACTCAGGGCCAAAGACACAAACAAGCCTCTGGGGGAGGTGTCTCCAGGCTTCTTTCCCATCCAGTTCCCTCTGCCCATGTGTGCTGGTTTAGCTGCCCCAGTCAGAGGGACGTCCCAAAGGGCTAGGCCCTATGTTATATTCCTGGTGGACCCTCCACATTAGGCACTAGGTTGCATCAAGTCTCAATGACACCCAAGGCCTGGCCTGGCACACCCAGGTTAAAGCCATCCCCTCAGCACCTAAGCTCTGAGGCAGGCAGGGTGGAGGAGGGTCTGACATGCCCCCTGCTCCTCTGGATAGGGGTTCCTCACTGTGGAGCACCCCTCCCCAATAATAAGGCCCAGATGGTACAACCACAGAAATCCTCCCCTCCAGGGGCTTGACTTACGGTGAAAACTACACTCAGGTCATGTGGCGGCGGGGGCGCACACATGAAATGTTGCTACTCTGTGTTTTATAACACTGGGTGTGACACCGTGCACTGTCCCACACCCACTAGTACTGGAATGGCACTGATCTCCTCTACTCCCTGGTGTGACAGATGAGGTCACAGTACTGGCCAGGGTTAAATAAAATCTGTTACAGCTTAATTAAAAGGGTCACATCTGGACTCAGGTTCAAATTCAGACCCTTCTTTAAAGAACCTCAGGCAAAAGATGAGCTAGTTAAGAGTTTTGGTAAATACTCTCACTGTGGCACCCACAGCCTGCTCTCTCCTGTTTCTGGGCACCCACCCACACACCACAGGTCTTGACCTTATGAATCTACCTGAGACCTTACCACCACCTTCCTGAAGGAAAGGGATCTATGTTTCTCCACACCCCCTCCCACAAGACCACTGAAATCTGCCAACATGAACTACATGTGAAGGACAATCTTGTAAAATAGCACCAAGCTGGAGAAGCTCATGTGGACAGCCTCAGGCAATACAAGAGGGGCCCAGGGTTTTGCAGTCCTGCTGGTCACTAGGAGAGAACAGCTTCCACAGGTCATTCCTGAACATATGTCTGAAATTGGGCTGGGCAGCCATCTGGCCCTGTCTCTGGCTTCAGGTCACAGGCTGCTCTCTTTCCTGAGAGATGGAGAGATGTGTGCAGACTATCCCAGGCTGATCCCTACTAAGTAAAGCATTCCTGCCCCTTCACTTCCCATAGGGAAGTAAGCACTACACTTCTGAAGGAGGAAGCTTGAAAAAATGACAGCCAGTAAGGTTCTCCTACCAGAACCAGATGGCCAGCACCAGCACAAGGCCTACCTGCACTGCTGAGGAATACCTCCTCCTGGCAGCCTTAGCCCATCTGGCATGATGTGCCTCAGAACTGGTGCCAACTGATGTCACAGAAAGAAGGACGTGATGAGGCAGGAGGGGTAGGGACAGAATTAGGACATAGGGCCTCACCAAGGTTCCCAAAGCCAACCTGCCAGGCCTCTTCCATCCGAGGGAGATAAGGTTACAAATACAAGTCAGTATTTAAAATAGCAGACACTTGAAGGCAACAGCTAAGTAATCACTAATTAGTAATCACTAGTACTAACAGAGCAGGAAGATGGCCATGCCTGCAAACCAGAGAATGTTTCCAGGATAGATCCTTCAACACTATAAGTAGTTTATAAAAACATACCTGGAACCCTGGCTGGTGTTGCTCAGTGGTTACAGCAGCAGCCCATGCACAGAAGGGTTGTGGGTTTTATTCCCAATTAAGGGCATGTAACTGGGTTGCAGGTTTGAGTCTCGGCCCTAGTCCAGGTGTGTATGGGAGGCAATCAATCAATCAATGTGTCTCTCTCACATCGATGTTTCTTTTTTTTTTAATTTTTGAAAATGTTACAGATTTCCCCCTTGACCCCTCCTTCCCGCTCACATTAATATTTCTTTCTCTCTCTCTCCCCATCCCTCCCTCTCACTCTCTCTAAAAAAATAAAATAAAAATAAAAAAATATCCTCAAGTGACAATTAACAACAAAAACATACCTGGAGAATGAGTATGTTTAAAATTGTGGAATACACACACACACACACACACCCATGGGCATGCACATGTATGTCTGCCTAGACATATGGAAAACAGTGGCAACTCTTGTGAGTGGGATAAAGGCGTTACTAATAGTTATTGGGGCAGGAGCCATTGGTTCATGTTACAAATTCTACAATGATTTTTCAGAAACATGCCTCATCAAAAAAATTCTTCAGCAGACCCAGAAGTGGGAGGCTTTGGGCACCTAACGAATGAGACATGTAGCCAAAGCTTGAGACAGACAAGGTGGGCATGGTCCCCAAGAAACTACACTGCCACCAGCACCCTAGCCTCTAAGAACCACAACCCCAAGGTGTTTCCATAAAAGGCTCAGGCTGTGAATCTAGAAATTGATCTTTGGGCTTGTGGCCATCCTGGGGCATCTTGAGTGCCACCACATGGAACACTGGGTAGGAAAGCAGTTTATTTTAGTAGAGTTTGTATGCTGGCAGCACAGCCAGCACCAATGTCTAGGTGGCTTTACTTTGGGAGGAGAGAAAGAAAATCTTATTGTCAAAAATCTAAAATAACCAGATAAATAAATAACCCAAGTCTCTCAAAAACTAGCTGCTATTAGAGACAACCTGTATGCACTCTTCTTTTCACTCAAACAGTAAATAGTAATAGTCATCTGATGCTAAGATGGCTAAAGTCTGTAATACTGTTCTGGGATAAATCTAGATATTTTTGGAGAGAATAATACTTTGCCTGTATTCATAAATGTGTTCATTGCCCAAGGTTACTTTGTTGAAATGGAACTAACATTGTTCCCAGCTTTAACACACTAGCTGTAGTACTAAAAATTCCCCTGTGGTTTATAATTAACCACAAATCTCAACAGGCCAGCCCAAGCCCAGCTCTCAGACTGTCAAATACTGCTGAACACTCACTTGGTGTGTGCACAGGTGATACCCAACCAAGGAAATGTCACACATCACCCACCTGCCCCTTCCCTAGGATCTGGGCATGCCTGAGGCAGTGACAGAAAGAATTCAGTCTGTGGCTGAACCCACTTTATCTCCAGCATCCAGTTGGTTAGCTCCTCTACCCCTACCCATTGAGTTTAAATCTTTTTACTAAAGAATCACACAGAAATCAAATTGGGCCAATAATCGTAAAGAACAGTGGAGCCAGTTTTTTAGAGCAGCATTCCCTAGTCTCTAGTGTGTACAGGGGTCCTGGGGGCCTGAGGTTTATCTGTATCTGTTCTCAGCTCGGCCAGTGGGACACAGGTTGATGCAGAGGCTGGAAAGTCATGATGGGCTGTGACTGCTAAGAGTGTTGGCAAAAACAGGAGTGTGGAAATGGGGGGGTTGGTAGATGGACGATTTGTAACCTTGTGATAATGCATTCTCACAACCTGCCAGCCTAGGCTCAAAGTGTGTGTGTGAACAGATATGTTTGACTGATAGGCAGGAAGACCCTCTTGCTTGCATTGGATGCTTCGTTTGCATGAGAATGAGATAAGATTTGCATGACAATGGCTGCACCACCTCTGCCTTGAATGGACAAATGGACAAATGGGTTGTAGGACTCAAGAATGTCTGAGTTTGTTATTTTTTAGCTTTAAAGTCTCTGTAAAACGCTAGAGATAAGGTTAGGCTGTATGGTTTGCAGAGATGCCATCTCAAGGAAATAATTTATATAAATCCACTTGTAACCTGGGGGAACCAATCTGCAAATAAATGGGACTGTGTCCAAAGATCTGGAGCATTTGTTCCCTTGCAAAGCTCCCTCTCACTCCTACCAGTGTGTGCTTGTAGTTCATTGCGTTGCACCAATCCTGGCAGGCTGAGAGATGAGTTTGATACAGTGGCACACAGTGAAACTTGTTGAACAACTGCACAAGAAAAGCTGTAAGACACCTACTAGGAGCATAATTGTGCTCATGACTCCTTGATGGGGTGGTGATAAAGGACACACACTTAAGTTCATAATTAGTCTGAGGTACCATAAAGGGAACTCAAGGCTTTAGCAAAGGGAGTTTTACCCCCAGGGAAAGGACAATCAATGCCCTGCAAAGACTGGCCACAGAGACGCCAAGGAAGGCCATCACTACAGTAGGCAGCACTTTCAGGAGGCCAATTACTATTCCTGGACAGTGGGTTTGTTCAAATCCCTCAACACACACCCAATATCCAGAAGGGTGCTTGGCACTTAGAATACATTAAGAATTTAAGGAATCAAAGGATACAAATGTCAGGCGTACCCCCTCTTCAAAAGACTTGATTTTATTTTTGGTCCCACTCTTATATAAGTATACTAAGAGTAAGAGGCTGAGTGGGTTGATTTGAATTATGCCAGTGTGTATTTTATTCAGCTTGCATTCATGCTTACTTTTCCTGAAATGAGAAAACATCCCCAATGCTCCTTGATACTCAGACAGCCAGGATATCTGCCCAGGACCAGACACACACTCAGGACTGTGCCAACAGCTTCCCCTATGCTTTGAACATTCATCATAGTTGTTCCCAAAGACCCAGATCCTTCTATGAAAATCTGAAGACACTGAGCACTGCCAAGTAAACAGGAAAGCCAGATCTCCTCCAAACTGGGCAATCCTGTCCCTGGAAAACAGTCCAGCAAAGGTGTGCGTTGCCAGCATCTACAGCAGACATAGAGGTCCAGGAGACCTTGTGGACACTGAGATGCCTGCCATCAGGGAACACATAGTACCTGTAGGTGATCCTCACTTCAGTTCCAGGCTCGTCTCGCTCCCAGATCAAAGCAACACTCTCTGGGGACTTCTGAACGTGCTGATCCAAGCAGTTGACTGCACAAAAACAGGTTAACAAACATTAAACTTGGTGTTTTTAGAGTCCAAATCAGGGGAGGATCTGGTTTGCTGTGACTTGCACTACTCTCTGATGAAGTGGAGCCCTCCCTCATCAAAGGTGAGGTTTTTACTTCCTTGCAAGGAGGTAATTGTCAGAGCCTGCGAAAACAAGACAATAACTATACAAATATGATCTCACAAGTATACGGTGATCCTCTGTGAACAGTCGGAAGCAAGCACTTCACACCAGTAGTCCCAAACCCAGACATACATTGGTGTTGTCTGGGTCATCCCAAGGACCCTAACCCAATTGACCCTGTGGTTTTCAAGGCTCCCTGGGTGGTGCTAATGTGCAGCTGGGGTTGGGTACTGTAGCCTGAGCTGTTGGAAAGAATATTTCATGCAAATAGGATGCCCCTGATTCAATACAAGTTTCATGCAAGGGGCTTTTGCATGTGGTATAGACGCACACAGTCCAGGTCAAGGAGCCACATTCCTTCTCAGGTGTCCAGCCAGCACCCTAAAACCAATCTTTGCTCCAAAGAGTGTTGCAATGATGAGAAAATTCAATGATCGTTTTCCACAGGGCTCTACTCCCCTCCCCTCCTCCTCTGTTACCCAAGCTCAGGTCACATGACTGCCCACAAAAATAGAAGGTCATTTCTGCCAGTTTACTGTAAATCTGAATCATGCTGACATGCTGTTCAAGGTGAGATTAGCTGTGGCTATTAATGCCAGCCTTTAAAGCCAAGCTTTCATTGCTTACCTCTCCATCAGCAGGGGAAATAAATGAACACCACAAATAGTTGTTGGGGGCAGCAGCCATCTGGTTTCAGGTCACACCAATGTCCAGGTATATAAAATAGTGTGTGTTTTTTTTTTTTTTTTCTTTTCAAGGCAGTTACCTATGTTCTCCTAGTCAATCTCCTCTTCTATAAATGGGAGCTGCATTATCTATTATGTCTAATTCACAAGGCTATGACCAAAAACAAATGAAATACTGAATGTTAAAGTACTGTTAAATGAATAAATACAAGGTACTATATTACCAACTGATAAATACCATGCTATGAGTTAGAGACTTCTTTAAATGGGATAACTATTCTGACAAAAATTCTGGAAGATACCAAAAGATCATGTGATTCCTATACTTCTTGAAAGGATAAACTCACATGAAAATATTGTGTGTGTGTGAATTACATTTTTTCCCTTTTGGGTTATTTTTTTCTATTATTTATTCTTACAATAAAAAAAATTCATTTCACCTGGCTGATGTGGCTCAGTGGATTGAGCGTCGTCCCATGGACTGAGAATTCACAGTTTAATTCCTGGTCAGGGCACAGGCCCGGGTTGCAGGCTCAATCCCCTGTAAGGGACACACAGGAGGCAGCCAATCCATGTTTCTGTCGCATGGATGTTTCTATCTCTCTCTCCCCTTCCTCAGTGGGGAGCATGCAGGAGGCAGCCAATTGATGTTCTCTTTCTCATTGATGTTTCTATTTCTCTCTTCCTCTCCCTTCCTCTCTAAAAATCAATTTAAAAAATTGTTTTTAATTCATTTCAATTTTCTGGCTCCTAAGAGGTATATAAATTATGTCAAAATTTTAATAAATAAATAAATGTCATAGGAAAAGTTACTAATACTATTTACTGACGCAGAAAAGTTATTTGAATTATTAGATAAATGGAGGAGAAGAAATGCCCCAAAAAACAGAAAAGAGAAAAAGCAAAATGAGAAACAGAAGAAGGGGCTTGGTGGATGACCCTGAATTTATACAATAAGCCCAATGTGTGTGTGTGTGTGTGTGTGTGTGTGTGTGTGTGTGTGTGTGTTTCAAAATGGACCAAAGTTGATCGCCCTGGCCGGTTTGGCTCAGTGGTTGGAGCATCGGTCTGCGGACCAGAGAGTCCCGGGTTTGGTTCTCACTAGGGGCACGTACCCCCTCCCCAAATAAAGATCCGAAGTTGAAAAATCAAATTTTCACACTAAAACTAGGGATTTCTGACTTCTCTTGAACGATCAGCAGATGAAGATACACTCTCCCCTGGGAGCTAAGGTGGTAGCCATGCCTCTACAGGGCAGGTCCTATTCCCACTCCACTGCCTGGCCCTAGAGAGCCTGATTGATGGAATGGGAAGGAGTGACCCTAAGCAGTTCATGACAAGCCATGGAGTGCCCAGCTCCTTGAAGCTGAGGACAAATACTGAGAAAGGGTTGGAGAGGAAACAGAGTGAATTAAAGCTATGCACTGAGCAGGAGTCCAGAAGCAGGGTGTTGCTTGTATGTGTACATGAGTGTTCATTGGACCCTGGCTGCCCCAGGCATAGATGCCAATCCTTGATCCCACCCCAGATCAGACCTCAGAAGACTCCAGATGATAGGTGTGGATTCTTATCCAAGAAGTCTGCTCCAACACACCTTCTCTCACCCTGAGTTGAACCTTCTTAATCACTCTGGAAAGTGGGCTGTCTCAGGTATAGCTTAGAAAACAGTCCACAGGTGGTCCAGTGACCTGCCCAAGGCCTAGCCAGGAAGCAATAGGAAGGGCCTCAAAGCACAAGTAACACCTTACCTGGGGCTCATCTACCTACATCGCCTACTCCCAGGGTGGCAAAGGTGCCAGCACATGACTATCCAACTTCCAACCTAGACTCTCAGTGCCATGGAGCCAAGCAGGGCATCCTGTGACTGGTTTAAACCAAGCAGGAGGGCAGAGATGCAGAAGGTGGAGGGGAACCCATGATGGACAGTACCCAGGGTGTCGCTGGGTAGCCAGAAAGCCCTGTGTCCATCTCTTCAAATGGCAGGAATTCAGGCAGGTCAGCAATGAGCCCCAGGTGCAGTGTCCCTAGATCCCTTCGTTGCAAGTGGGAAGTACGGGACAAGAGGCCACCAAGGTCCTGGTTGATCAATCTCTTCCTACTGGCAGTGGCAATTCTGGTGAGCACCTTCTTGCCTTGGAACTTTTTGTTTTGTTTTGTTTTGTTAATCCTCACCTGAGGATATTTTTCTATTGATTTTTTAGACACAGTGGAAGGGGTGGGGATAAAGAAACATTAATGTGAAAGAGACACATCAACTGGTTGCCTCCCACATGACCCCGACTGGGGCTGGGGATTGAACGTGCCAGGTACATGCCCTTGACAGGGAATCGAACCCATGACCGTTTGGTCCACAGACTGATGCTCTAACCACTGAGAAAATCTGGCCAGGTCCTACCTCAGAACTTTTACATGGTTTCTACTTGTTCGTGGCACACTGTCCCACTCTCCCCACGGCTGTCCTCACCTGGTATCAACCCTCCTGCAGGTCCCGACCTTCACATTCTCACTTTCTCAGTGAGCACTTCATGTCCCTTGAACCTCTAACTCACCTGAGATGTTTGAACTTGCTGTCCCTCTGTGGGCAGGAGCCAGATGTCCTGTTCATGCTTGTATGCATGCAGCCTAACCCAGACAGAGAGCAGAGAGGCACCACAGCTCTGGATAGTGGACAGACTATTCAAGTCCTTGAACTAATGAACAATAACGGAGTCTAAATGGCATCAAGTTGGTCCCATGCCCAGGGAAGGGAACAGACCTCTTCCTGTCATCATGACCTTGTTCCTCAAGAAGTTCTGTTGGACTAAATCAGCACTTCTAAACTCCCCAGAACTCCCAGAGGGCTTCTTAGCACACAGATTATGAGCCCCACCACTATCAGAAGGATGAGTGAGCAGGTCTGGGAGGACCTGAGCATTTCACTTCTAACAGATCCCAGTGATGCCACTGCTGCTAGTTCAGGACCACACATGCTCCCATAGACAGATGTGTATACAGCTACATGCATTCTACTTTGTGTGTATATTCCAGATTCCAGAGGGCTTTCTTTTCCTATGAGGACAGGAGTGATCAAAATGTCAGGTAGATGAAAGATGGCTGCAGAGTAAGTGGAGGCTGTGTGCACTTGCTCCCAGCCACGAACCAGGTTTATAGCTAAACTACAGAGCAATCAGCTTGAAAAACCAATTGAAGTGTAGCTGATCTGAAACATTATCTCTAAGTAGCACTGAAGAAGCCACATAGAGACTGGTAAGAGGAGCGGAGATGCAGAAAAGGAAAGCACCCATCGAGCAGGTGCGGTGGCTGACAGGCCAGAAAGATACTGCCGCTGCAAAGCTCCCTCCGCCTGAGAGTGGGGGGGTCTCAACCTCACACAGAGATCCCCAACCCAGAGCAAGAGATGGGGAGAAGAGCCAGTGTAGCATCAGGCAGAAGAAATCAGAAAAATTCTGTCTGCCTGGGAGACTTGGACTACCCCTATTGTTAGCAGCCCCAGCCTGAGAAGTTTTCTCCAGACTGAGATTCTGCTGTATGGCCCTGTTGGGGTCCAGTGGAGGGGTTTGCAGGCTGCACCCAGCAGTGATTTTGAGATACCCACCCTCTACTTTCTGGAAAGGCATTGGGCAGAGTGCCAGTCAGTGACTAATCTGTGTGGCTTGGGAAAAAAGGAATGGTCTCTCCCACATTGAGTACATGATCAGAGCCCCTCACCCACTCGTGGAGCTGCCCGATTTGCCCCATCCCACTAGGCTGGTGGCACAGGGGAGAAGCACAGGTCTGGGATTTTTGGCCCATATTTTGGGGTTCAGAACCCAAGCAGAGCTAGAAATTTCTGCCCCACAATGCTTAAACCAGCCATACAGATAATGGAGTCTCACACAGGGCTGATTTTCTGCCTCCCTCCTACTTGGTTTGGTGGCACAGAGGAGCTGGGATTTTTGGACTGTGTTTCCTGGGGGAGGATTATGTCAGGTAGACAAACAGGCGAGTGCTGAGCTCTGTGATTGCATTGTGGGGAGACAGATCCGAGCTTCCTATGAGTTTGGCCCTGCAGATCCCCCAAAAAATGGTAGTGCCCATCCCCACCTCCTGCAGGCTGCAAACACTACCCACAACAGGAAATTGCTTGGTTCAGCCCTGTGAAGTCCTGGGTGCAGTTCTGTGGGAGATGGAAG